TATGTTCTTAAGCTCCAGCACATTGTGGTCAGCCATTTAGTTTCATTTAACTTTGATAAGATTTCCTTATGAGTAATTTTAAAAATGTCACCCAGGCATCCTGTAATTATGACCAACCAGTTCTTTCTTACTAGACTGAGTCATCAGACTATGATAAGACAAGGTATGTTGAACAGTCTGTTCTTACATTTCAAAAGTTCCTTGTCAAATCTTTGAAAAAGCATATGCTTCCTGCTTTTTTCTTTTTTTTGATATTTTATTAAGGTTTATTACAAAACAAAATACAAATAGCAACAAAAATGGGAAAAATTAAAGAAGAATGAAGTGCGGAAAAAAGGGTGGGGCATGAGAAAAGCAAAACAAAAACAAAAAACAGTGAGTTCTGGGGTTTTTTTCCAGTGCAGAAAAATACAAAAAAATATATAATTTCAACTTTTTAATTTAGATTTCTAAATCTTTCAAGCCACTTCTATGACAGTGAAGTCATTCTAGTCTTGTAAACCTTAATTTAAAGTTTCATTACACTTTATCCTCCTTTTAAAAAAATATTCTTCAATTAGATGAAGCTGGAATGAAGGGATCATTATCACAATGGAACAGCCTATAAAGTAGTAGATAAATCTCTTCATCCTTAATAGTATTCTCTGAAATTAAATAAAATGCTTATTCTTAAAAAGCAAATGCTAATTTTGCTTCATGATTTTTTCCTACAAAAGTCTAATGTCTTAATACAAAAATAAATCCTGTTTTCTCTCTGCTTCAAATCCACTAATGTGATAAAAATAGAATTAAACAATTGATTAATTGTTAAGGAAAACAAATAAGTTAAAACTAGTGGAAGTTTGTGAAGATGAAATATCAGAAGTGGACATTGGACAAGTTTTGTGGTAAAAAAAATACACAATACTTGTTTTAACCTGCCGTCTTTTTTCTATATGATATATGGAATAAAATATTTTAAAAACATTAAAATCATTGCAAAAAACACACATATATAAAATATAATTTCATAATTCAGTTCATTTTAGTAACTAGACATTTGAATATTAATTACTGATGCTTGATTTGCAACTCAAGCAAAATATTAATTAAAATATCACAAAGTTTTTAAAACTTTGCTGCTGTTTTTTAATACTCCATTAAAGTCAGGGCAAACACTTCCAGTTATTATTCGTCAAATTGTTATCCGACACCATCCCAACATACCCTCGCTGATTTTTAATTATAAATTATTGTCTTCACTCAATGCCTTTGCACATGCTGTAGCAGCTTGTATAGAATTCTAGTTTATACTCACTTTATAAGATTGAAATCAGTTTCCTGATTTAGTTTTGATATGAATGATAGATTTTGGGATTTAAATAGCCCATTGATGCTACTTTCAATCACAATTGGAAAATTGTTTATTTTAAAACTTGATATTGATAATATTTTTTTTAAAAATCTTTTTTAGGATCACGAATAATTTGAATTCAACAATCACTTGTTAAGATAAATTTTATAGGTCATAAACATCTTCTGCTGAAAACTGTGATGAATTCCTAGTTTATCTTTGTTTTTTGACAATATCAATGGACATACAGTTTCTTTAAAGATGCTACACAGACATATGTGAATGTACGTGAATGATATTACATCAAAATTCATTATTTATTTCTAGAGAATATTAATGTATTTTTTCAGTGAATTTAATTTTTTTCTGAATCAGTTCTTCCATCTAAATTTGGAGTGGATACGGAATTCATTTAATATTTAAAAAATTCTCCCATATATTTATGCTCCTCATTTCTGGAAATGCCAAATATCTCCTTAATTTTTTGCAATGTATCTTAATACATAACATTTTTAAAGCCGTGGATGTGAATACTACCTTAAGCATTGGCTTTAATTGAGAAGAGTTTTTCATCTCATGGCATTCATATTTTATTGATTCCTAGGAAAATATACAGAACCCGAGCCGGCCGGAGGCATGTGCAAAGTGAAAAGGCATCTTACCAGTTTCAACCATATCTCTGTCTCTGTCTCCCAGTGTGTGTGTGTGTGTGTGTGTGTGTGTGTGTGTGTGTACACACATAGGAAAACCATAGCATAGAACTTTTAGAAATTCATAGGCAAAAATATTTTGCTCTTGTTGCTAAGTAAATTTGCATTCGCAGTAAGAAGTAAATGTGTGCCTGGATTAGTGAAAAATCCATGAATGATATACTTTAAAAATTAAGAAAATAACTAATGTGGCAAGAAAAGAACTAATGGCCACATATTACTAGAAGGTAATATTGCAATTAGTAATGTATCAAGTATTAACAGCATATATATATTGAGATCTGAACTATTTGTTTCTTATTCGATTAATTGCAGCTTAGCATCAGGATCAGACAATCTTAATTATGATTTATAAAACAGTCAACTTTATTTCTTACAGATAACATTGATTTACTTAAAATAATAAAGTTTAGTTAATTTTGATTTCAAAGATCAAACAGTACTGAATTGTAATCAGACTGGAAATAAAAGCTTTAGACTTATTCAAAGTCATACAGCAAGATCAGCGATCTAAATAAGGATCATCAATGTTTAATTACGATTTTTTATGTACTTAGTATTTTCTGTTTCTTTATTTTCGTAGTAATTTCTGTTGTTGAAATACATTTTGAAAGTTTTAAAAGCAAAAGACCCTAAACATGTCTTTATGAATTCAGTCCTACAGTTCAATTTCGTTTTGCTTTCAATCAATATTTATTCCTGCCCTGAAATATGAATGTTAACTTTTCTGAATTGCTGCTTTTTTATCTTTGTACTATTTTGACTGTGATTAAAATTTGCTTGTAGAATTATTTATGAAGAATCTCTATGGATGTGCCTTTCTGGAAATTTTTCTGTTAACGATTATTAAAATGTTGCTTAGTTTGAGTATGAAAGGACTGGTTGTAAAATATTTATTTATTTTTCTAGCATATATGTATGCATACAATTTATCCACTAGCTCAATCTTCATGGACTTTAGCAATTTACAAATTTGAAAACAGTAAGAATAAAAATACATTTTAAAATTGCAATAATGAAAATATAACAATATTATACAGATATACATAGTGTGAGTGTGTGTATGTGTGTGTGTTCACACACACACACACACACACACACACACACAAATAGGTGCCTCTGACCCTGGATTAAATCCCAAAGACTTCTGGAAAAACAAAACATTACAAAGTAAACACTGAATTCCTTTAGAAATCAAAGACAGTAATTTGACAGGATTAAATCTCGTGACTTGAATTCAACTCCCAGTTGTTGCATTTGGAAATGTTATGAACATTGTTGTCTGCCAAAAAAATTAAAATATGAAAAACAAAATAAATAATCAAATAAATAAATGCTAATTAAGGCTAACTTATCTTAGCTTTCAAAATTAGACAAGTTCCTACTGAAGCATAGTATAAATAATTATGTTTAGATTTGGAACAACGTATTCAGTAGTATCGATATGATTCTTGTAAAGAATCAATAGTATTGAAATAGTTATTGAAACTAATTAATGAAACATTGAAATTTTTATCTAAATTTATGACAGCTTTTTCCTTCATATTGTTTTTTTTATCTCTTTTTATTATTTTTTGTTACTTCTGTTTCCTTTTCTCTGAAATAGAAATAGGAAAATTGATAAAATGGAACATTCAAGACAGTGTGATTGTCTTACATTTGACTGCTGGGTAAATGGATTGATGAATGATATCCCTGCATTATGATTTTACTTTTCATTAAGTGTTTCTAATAATAGAAAATTTCTTGGCTTTGGAGATTTCCATATATAAATTGTCACAACAATCTTTATTTTAATATTTGTGTTCCATTTAGGCTTTCAGAATATAGATTTTACCGGTTTTAGTGAAAGCACAAAAATCCTGCAGGAAAAAGGTTTCTTGTGCACTGAACCCCAGCTATATTTTGATAGCTTCAAATCTATGCAGGAAAATATTGTATAAATAGCAGAACAGGAAATTCCACTTGATCCAACACTAATTGTCATTTTTGGCTTCACTGCAAGGAGTTGTTAACTTAGCATAGTTACATATGGGTTAGTTCCTATCCTATTCACACATAGTATTATGACTGACGTGAATTATTTGAAGCTATCTAATACTTAAATGTGTTTTACATGGAAATTAAATATATATAGCATTCTAGATTTTAAAAAGTGAGATATTCAAATAAGAGGTAAAGACATAAAATAGCAATAGTCTTGTTTTCACTATAATGTTCCCCACTTCCGGATGTTAATATTTAGGATTATTTTACTTTCAAACTTCCTGCCACTGTTTTTGTCTCTTTTATCATCATAACAAACTATTTATTTCCTTGATTTTCACATTTTGATTTGCTCTTTGCAGATTACAAGTGACATTTAGTGGAAAATATGAATAGGTCAGTCCTATAGTAGTGTTGCTTGGAATTCTGCTATTATGCTAGAGATAATTGGTATTTGCTAGATAACTGCCACAAAACCTGGAACTTTCTTTTTTTCGTTAACACAATGTTCTCTACAGGGTTCTCTACAATTCTGCTGATATTCTTTTGAAATAGTCTCATACATTTCTAAAATTAAAGCTGCGGTATTTGGCCTAATAGGCAGGATTTTCCATTTCTAATCCCCATTTAATAAATTTCTGCCCATCAGTAAGCTGTTGGACAAAATTGTGTGCATTGTAGAAGTATAAGATTTAGCTTTAATCTGGAATAGTTTATCTGACACCAGGATGAGATTTCCTTTTGCTTTTGGAGGTGAGAGCGCGTAGCCTTTAATTTCTGGATGACATACAGAACAATCGGTTTCTAGGTTTTATTTCTTACCGATTGCTAAATAAATGTGCAGCAGTTCATTTTTCTGTTTTTTCCTCTTATAATATTTTGAAATTATGTATCTTAATTACATTGTTTGTAACTGCAGACACCATAGAGATTAATGGTGATTTATTATGATTTATTTTCTCTCATTGCAGCTTCACATGGAATCAGCCAGTCCAACGGTGTTGCCACCATCAGCTTTACCGTTAGAATTGCTAAACAATGCTGTTGCCGCATTTAGTACCATAGAAGAACTTATCAGGTACCTTGAGCCTGAAAGGTGGCAGTTAGACTTGGAAGACCTATACAAGCCAACTTGGCACCTCCTCGGGAAAGCCTACATTCATGGCAGAAAATCAAGAGGTAATGTTCCTGATAAACCAAATTGTACATGTAAGAAACCATTAATGGATGGCACATGTATGTAAAGTGATTGTTTTTGAAGCTGTTTACTTCTTTCAGAATGTAGAATTAGACTATTTAGAAACGTTCTAATAAATGTTAGTGAATTTATTTACCAGCCCACAGGACAACTAAGCATGTTTCAGTGTGTCAGCAGGCTTGAGGATCTCAGGGAAAGAGAGAACCGCCGAGATGACTACACTGTATTTCTCAATATTCTTTCTCCTAGTCTTCAAAATTAATATTGATGTTTTATTATATAATTTTAATGTTTGTTTTTGGTCTGTTTTTATTGTAGTCCAGACACAATAATAGGCCTGGGATGAGCAGCTATATAAATGTGATAAATAAATACGTTTATCCTCATTTTAAGGATCGGGCGAGGTCACTCTATGCTTTGTGCTCTATCACTACAATTGATAGTGATTTTCATGGTTATCCCTGTCTTTTAATGATAGAGCTTTAGCCAGTAGAAAAGAAGACTGAAATACTTTTTCAGTGCAAAGTCTCTGTTTGTTCAAATTGCCATTAATAGATTTCTATCCACACACTCCTTGTTTAACCTGTTTTGCTGCTAACTTCTTTATGCATTTTAGGATTTCATAAATCCATGGCGTATACATGTTTTGAACTGCAAACCTGTGGCCCTTACCCAGAAATTAATCCATCTAAAGCTATAGAGTGTAAGCTAAGTAGAAGCTACCCAGGGATCCAGCAGTTCTCTCTTTATACTTTTGAACATAATTGGGGGGGGGAAAAGTAGTCGCCTGACTAGTAAAATAATCTTTCTAAGCTATGGAACATGAGGCACAGCTGCATTGACCCTTCAGGGCAGATTTATTCCACCTGTTTGTCTTCCTTTTTTTTTTTTTTTTTTAGCACAGGATTGATGTCATTCAAAACATGAGGCAAGTAGACTGTTGAATCAGTAGGACAGATTCATGTAAAAACATGTCCTTTATCTGTGGGCTTCATCAGAAAATAGTTTCCTCTTTGGTTGCCTCTAAAATTCCCTTTATATGCTGCGATACTGCTGCGTACTTCGAAGAAGGCCTGTGGATGACTGTTTAGAAGCAGTTCCCAGAGGCTTCGTTTTTGGTGTGGATTCAAAAACACTGTCTTAATGTATTTGATAATTACAGTAAGTGAAACAGGAAACACATACAAAGTTATGTGGGGTGTGTGGAATGTATTAAAATGAAATTTAAAATCGCAATAAACTTAAAGTATTATCTGGAATGATGAATAAGCAACTTTGTCTAAAGTCACTTGTTAGATATTTGACTTGTCTGAAACACAGAATAAAGATATAGCGGTCATCTTTTGTTTGCATCTTGTTTTTTTAATTTCTTAAGTGAATTACTGCTGTTCTTAAACTTATTGATTTCAAAATACATCTTTCTTTCTGATTAAAGTATTGCTTTTAGTTGAATATGGCTATTTGTGTCATTGTGTATGTATTTGTGTGGTGAGACACTTTGCATTCTTGTCCAATGAAGCACGGGCATTCCATTCTAAAAAGGCCAATCTGATGGAATAATGATTTTCCCATCAACAACTTCCAAAAGAAAACAATATTGAACTAATCTTTAAAAGTATTTGAATAAGACACTAAAGTAGAATTGCCGTTGGATAAACAAATCACAGAATTGTGACAGACATCTTAAAGGACCACCCTCAAACTGCATTACCAAGTCTGTAATGCAATAGCCTAGAGCAGAAAATGTGCCCCATTGAGATGACATGGTATTCACTGTTGACATGCAGAATTATTGCAGAAATAAAAAGTTTAGGGTTTTTTTAATTGTGTGCTCCCTTTAAAAAAATATATATTGAAAGGCATAGTTCCTGGGGCTTAAAAATATTGATAATTTCTAAGAAAGTACAACTTTAATACCAAATTTAATATTGAATGTAAACTAGCTCTTGCTATAATAAAATCTGTAAAACTCCAACTTTTCAAATAATTGTTAAAATTAAAGCTTTGCAGGTTTTTTAAATATATATATATTATTATTAATATATATATATATTAATGTTTTATTCCAAAATCAAAAAAATTCAAAAGCAGCTATTTCATTTTCTATGAAATGTTGTAAATGCACTATATGATAAAGAGATAAGTAATATTATACTTTCTGAAACACAACTTTAATCTTTTGAATGTTTTCAAATTGGATTGTCTGGAATTTCAGACCTAAACATGTTAAAATTACATGGCCAAATTAAATTATATGTCCTTTCTTGAAATATATTTTAGAAGAAAATATGTGTCCTTAATATTTCTTAGTTAAAAAAAACATGCTTTTTATTTTTCCTATTTCTTAGGACTGACATTAGGATTTAATCAATGCCTATTTTCATCTTTAACTACGGCTTTTAGTTTGGGAAGAAGTTCTTTCCTTTTATTGTATTCAAGCTTTATGCTTGAAATGAAAGCAGAATTGAAAGAAATGAAAGTTTCATCCAAAGTCAGTTGCATGCATTTAAGTAGAAAAATTGAGTATCACATTAAAAAACCCCAACTTATTTATACTTCATGTGTATGAAAATTTATTGTAGTAGTATCCATGGCATTCAAAGCTGTATGTATGTATGTATTTTATTTATTTGTTTGTTTGTTTGTTTGTTTATTTAATATGCTGCCCATCACCTCAGTAAAGCAACTCTGGTCCCCATGTTAGACTTTTGAATAGCAATTTTAATTACTTCCCTCTCTTTCCAATCCTTTCTGAGTTAATTCCAAAACTTAAAATACTAGCACAGGGGTGTCAAACTCGATTTCATTGAGGGCCGCATCAGGGTTTGACCTTGGGGAGGGGTGGATGTGGCCAGGGTAGGCGTGGCTAGCTCATGTCAGGGGCTCCTGTGGTGGCCTGAGCTCTGTTTTCACTGGCAGAGGGTTACAGGAGGCCATTGCAGCCTTCTGATTTCTGTTTTCACTGGACCCGTGGGCTAGTCCTTTGCTGTTTCTAATGGGGCCCCGTGGGCCATATCCAAGCATCCTGCGGGCTGGATTCAGCCCATAGGCCTTGAGTTTGACACCCCTGTACTAGTACCCTATTTCTCCAACAATGCGGCCTCCCCCAAGAGGAAGTCCCAGCATGCTTTATAGGCATGAAATGAAATTAAGCCCCTCCCCCCCAAATTAAGGCCTATATTAAAACATGCGAAATGGGGAATGGTGGGGGGGGCTTGCCATTAGGAAGTACTCTTGTTGCACCCATGGATATGGTGCTGCCTGCGTTGACCCCGATACAAAGTGCCCCACCAATGCCGAGGTCAACATCCAAGCCGTCGCCGCCCACCTGCCCAAAGATGCAAGGGGAGGGGGAATTAAGTCACCCCCGAAAAGACAACCTAGCCATTTTTGGGGGGCTCAAAAAAAAAAAGACCCGGCCTTATTATATGAGAAACACGGTACATGCCCCGCAAATTTATCCCCACTCCAGTTGAGTTTTGTCTGTAGTCTTCAAAGGTTGTGAGAAGCATTTTTTTTAATCTACCTAGTATGAACACTTCCCCGTTTGGGTTGGAATTAGTTTTCAAGTAATAGTTCTGAATCACAGTTACATTGCCATTGCGAAAAAGCCTCCCTCTCCTTATTAAGTTATCTGACTACGTGTCAAACTTGATGAATGAATGAGAGCCCAGTTCAAAGGGTTTTTTTTAAAAAAAAAACTTTCTCAGAATAATAGAGTTTTCAATTGAGTTTCCTTCACAAATTTATTAACTTTTTCCTCTGGTTAAGTAAACATTCAGAGGAATATAAACATTTACTGATACACAAAGCTAGCATTATGTCTTGTAAATTCTTAAAAGACACATATCAGAAAGATAAGAAGGATAAAGAATTTCCTGCCCCACTTTTTTCACTTCATAGCACTTTGTGAAACTGCTGGTCAATATCCCAAGTGCTACAAATATATATTGCAGTATAATAGAGTTTGATAAATACGTTTTGATAAAGCGTAAAATCCAATTGGCTAATCCATCTCTATTTAATATTGAATCAATAACAGGATTATATTTTGAGGTTGTTGTCTTTTAAGAAATGTATATTCCTAAGAGAAATCTAATTTAAAAAGTAAAATTAAAATAGGCCACAAAATGACCAAAGTTACCTAGAATCATGAGATTAAAACAGAGATCTCTGTTAGCTTGTCGAACAGAAATAAATTTTCATTCTACCGATCCAGGGGCAGACTTTTTTTTTTCTGGAACCCACTTTTTAAAATGTATCTTGAAATGTGATATATAGTTAAAATCTACAAACTTATGTATTTCCTTCTTATGGGCTTAAGTTATTGAAACCAAGGTCCACCATATTTGTGGGGGTCTTAGATTAGGCCATCTAAGAAAAGAAAGGGGAAAAGAGAAGGAACATTGGTTCTTGACTGGTCATCGTAATCTTGAAGTTCCTTCTTTCCAGTATAAATATGTATCCACATAAACATCAGAAGATAAATAGATACTTACTGTCAGCTATGGGAATTGATTTTATTGTGTAGGTTCTCAAGTCAGAAAAATATTACAACTGTATAAGTTATATCTTGAAATTCACAAGTTCACTAAACCATAGAAAAACCTATTGGTGTGATATTATCTCAAAAATATTTGCCTCGCTCTTGTTTTTACATTGTTTTTCTGAAAGAATTTAATGAAAAAAATTACAATAAATATTGGTTTATTGTTTAGTTGTAGATTTGAACCTGCTGAAGGAGGAAGTAAGAATGTATAGCTGTACTCCACGCAACTTCTCCGTGTCAGTACGAGAGGAATTGAAACGAACAGACACCATTTTTTGGCCACTTTGTCTGCTGGTTAAACGTTGCGGTGGAAATTGTGGCTGTTGTCAACATTCTTGCAGTGAATGCCAATGTGTCCCTACCAAAGTCACCAAAAAGTATCATGAGGTATAGTATTAAAAAAAAACAGGGGCAAGGAAAACTATAATAATAGATGATAATTAGCAAACTATCATGCTTGGATGGCGATATTTGAGATTCCAATTTACAAATCATTTTTGAGGCAGTTTTGTCTTGTCTTGACAAACTGACACCTTAAGAAGTCCTTTGTGTTACTTCCAACTGCTACTTTGTCAGGGAAATGACAGGTGAATAACAAGTAGAAGAACTTCAATCTTCCATCTATAAGGATTTTATTAATGGCTACACATCTTGATTTCTGTATCCTGAACTAAGAAAAGCTTTTGCATGTAGTTTATTTCAATATTAAATACTAATTGGGATCGCCAATTTATGACAATCCCAATTTTTAAGTTATTATATTGATTTATATTTGCAAATGTTGGAACAAAGACGCCAAGGCCTTCTTTAGTACACTATTTATGGGCCAAGATATATTGGGTCATGGATACATCATGAATATCATTGCAAGATGAATATGTACCTGTCCCAGACAAAGACTGATTTCTAACACAGGAATGTGGTATTTATTTAAAGATTTCCTTTCTTTAATGGCATTTAAAATGACAGCTGGACTGTTCTCTTGCAGGTCCTGCAGCTGAAACCCAGAAGTGGCGTAAGAGGATTGCATAAATCTTTGACAGATGTCCCTTTGGATCACCATGAGGAGTGTGACTGTGTGTGTAAAGGAAATACAGAAGGATAAAAGGAACTTCTTTCTTCTACAGCACATTGAATTAGAGGCTTATTCTGTTCTGGGGCTTGTGCATTAATCTCCTTGTATAATCTCAGTTGTTTCCTTTGAAAAAAATCTTCCGTGTTCAAGATTGATGGTTCAGGGGAGATGGAGAGAGAAGAAATGAAACTGGGATTATGTATGCAATGTAACAGCACATGAAAGCCCATTAAAACTATCCGCAGAAGGCATTCATGAGGATTTGTTTTCCTCTACCTTGATATAAATAGATAATATCATCTCTTTTTCAGCTCATCCTGAATTTTAAGTTTAGAAATGCTCAAAGCCTGAACTTTTCTAATAGCCTTCCTTCTGCCGGTCAGTTACTTCTGGCTTATCATTCTAAACAGCTGGGATCTTACTTCACTTATTGCAATAACTCTACACATCCTAAATTAAAGTGTTAATTGCTTAAAACTGTGTTATTCCGAGTTAAACTTATGTTTTTCACTTATAGATGTGAAAAAGACTGCACACTTTTCTATGTTTTTTCCCAGTCAGGTTCCTATCATTTTGCAAAAATGCCTGGTTGGTATATGTGAGCAAAGAGGAAAAAAATTGAAACCAATGAAGTGTCTTTATTCCTCCCGCTAGTGCCTTCAAGGATTTTTTCTTTGTTTGTTTATATTTTTATATTTTTGTTGTGTACATTTTTATACTCTTTGATGCATAACAATTTGCTTTTCTAATCTTGTTAAATATATCTATTTTTTACCAAAGGTATTTAATTTTCTTTGTATTTACAACCTAGAAAAATTGTATTTTAATCTTGTAAAACCTGGAGTCAGCATTACAGGAAGAGGATAGAAAGAATTACTGGTTGTATAATTTAAGGAATGTAGTGGTGCATGTGCACATAGAAAAATAAAGCAGATGAAAATATCACTCTGACTTTACAGTTGTAGATAAGCAGATTCATGATGCTGGGATAAGAAGGAACATAATAGCTGTTTTAAGCCTTTTCATATTCTAGTACCTTGAACTAGAGAAAATGTCTGTGAACATAGAAGCAGGCTTCAGCATGCATAAATAAGAAAATAAATACCATTTGTTGCATGAAAGGTTACTGGCATAAATCTGATAAGCATCAGAATACTTATCAGAGGATAGCTGTCAACCTGCATTGCACTGGCTTGAGTATCTGTACTATCTACATCCTGGCAGAATTATTTTTTGCAGAAAACTAGTTGTTATACGTGACCTATGATAGATTGGGAAGCAGGTATGTTCATGAAAAACAAAAACAAATTGCAACACAATGGGATCTTGTCACCATATTATATAATGGGTTGATTTAAAATATGCACATATTTATTGCTACAGACATATGGATTTTAATATTATCATTGACAGTTGCTTCCTCATAAGGCTATAGCTTCCAGTATTTTAATGGTGTATAATTTTTGAAATGTGGTTTTGCTTACAGTATGTACAGTTTATATATAAACTAGTACATTTATTCTCATCTTGGACAAGAAGGGAAGAAGTAGTAAAATATTTTGCTTGTAAAATACTTCTAAATTGTCTAGTGTTGTTTTGTGTGAATACCTGTTTCCTTTTATTGTTTGGGTTTATGTAATTAACAAAATAATTATTGGGATAGAAAGAACTCCCTATACCTACCTTATGGAAGGTAGTTACCATATAATTTTAAAGTATTGTTTTTTTATATGTGGCATATGCTATGTAGCAATCTAATCTCTTCCATTTCAGTTGTTACAGGAAATCTATGAACAGCTGCATGCAAATATTTAGGAACATCTGGTTAACTTGTATGTTTTACTGAATGCCTAAATCAGGGGTATCAAACTGGTGGCCCTCAGGCCAGATGTGTCCCGCACTGGCCATACCCACCACAGCTCCACAAAGGAGGGAAACATCGCAATACATCACTTGACGGCAACGTGATGCCACAAGGTTGACGCCCATGGCTTAAATGAACAGAAGTTGACACAACCTCAGCATGAGAAAAAGATAAACAGAACACCTTCTTGCAAATGTTGATGCATACTTGTTATTTCAATACAGTTGTGTACAGGTTCACAATAAATTAATAGTAAATATGACAAGTGCAGAAGCTTGGATCATTTCATCCAGTAGTTTGTAACACCCCCTTTTCAGAAATAATGATATCCTAAGCTTCGTATGGCCAACTCACTCTTTCTTACCAAACCTTTCTAGCTTGGAAAAACTATTAGGTTTCCTTGCACAGAGATCTTCCTACATATTTTCAATAACACTTTAATTGAAAAATAACTTTACCTTGGAACCATTTTAATGTTATAAAACAAGAAATGCTTTCTAAGTACCTGATAGATAAAACACATGCCTAAATATGATACCTTGGATTTATAGATCTGCTTCAGTGGCCTTGATTTAAGACTTATAAGGGACCAGGTGTTATAGGACTGGAGAGGGGATGGAGATTTTACAGTATCCTTCCCCTGCCACGCCCACCAAGCCACGCCCACAGAACCGGTAGTAAAAAAAAATTTAATTCCACCACTGACTGAATCCTGTTCCCCTGCCAATGGTACTATCCCATTAGATAGGAACAAGAGCATTGTAGCACATGATATAGAATGATCTGACGTAGACATTTGAAAGATCTATAACAGGTGTCAAATTCACGGCCAGCAGGCTGGATACGTCACGCATTGGCCACTCTCACACCCGGTTTAGCAAAGGGGGGAAAAGTTGTGATACATCACGTGATGACGATGTGACAATGTGAGTTTATCTATATGGACCAGAAGAGATTGTTTCCTCCCTCACAAAAGAGATGCTCTACCACAGTCAATATGACTATCATCCCATTATCATATATGAAAAATAGGGATGTCAATAATCTTCTACCTTGAGAGGTTTCACTGACTAATCACTTTCTCAAGAACCTTCTCAAGAAAGGAAGCTTTGAAGACTGGGTAATAGTTAGGTAGTCTTCTGAAGTCAATGTGTACATGTCTCTTTTTCAAATCTGATGGACACATCCCGTCTTCCAAAGAAGCACTGACAATTACCTGGACTCAACTCATGTTTCTGAGTTCTTCAAAGATCAGAATAAAATAGAACAGAACAGGATAGAATAGAATAGAATTCTTTTATTGGCCAAGTGTGATTGGACACACAAAGAATTCGTCTTCGGTGCATAAGCTCTCAGTGTACATAAATACATTGATCAAGAATCATAAGGTACAACACTTAATAATAGTCGTAGGATACTAAATAAGCAATCAAATAAGAAAAGTAAATAAAGCAATATAAATTGTAAAGATACAAGCAACAAGGTTATAGTCATAAGTAGGAGGAGATAGGTAATAGGAAGGATGAGAAGAATAATAGTAATACAGTCTTAGTAAATAGTTTGACAGTGTTGTGGGAATTAGTTTAGCGGAGTGATGACATTCGGGGGGGGGGGAACTATCCCTGTGTCTAGTTCTGGTGTGCAATGCTCTATAACATCGTATGAAACAATTTATGTCCCAGATGTGAGGGGTCTGTAGATATTTTCACAGCCCTCTTTGATTTGTGCAGTACGCAGGTCCTCAATGGAAGGCAAGTTGGTAGCAATTGTTTTTTTCTGCAGATCTAATTATCTGTTGAAGTTTGCGTCTGTCTTGTTTGGTTGCAGAGCCAAACCAGACAGTTATAGAGGTGCAGATGAATTCCTCTGTAGAACTGGATCAGCAGCTCCTTGGGCAGTTTGAGCTTTCTGAGTTGATGCAGAAAGGACACTTCATTTTTGTGGGTTTCTGATGTTAAGTGTCCATTTTAAGTCGTGAGATATGATGGAACCTAGAAATTTGAAGGTCTCTACTGTGTTGTCTAGTATTGTAAGAGGTGGTAGTATAGGAGGGTTTTTCCTAAAATCTACCACCATTTCTACAGTTTTGAGTGTGTTTAGTTCAAGATTGTTCCGGTTGCACCACAAGGAGACATGAAGAGACATGAATCAAGTGGCAGAAATTTTACTAGAGAGCATTGGTTCCATTTCTTCTAAGTCCACACAATTTTATCTTCAAATAGCTTGCTATAGCTCGTTTCAACAGAATTGCCCATCTGGATAAGCTTTGCTGGATGCAAATTAATGGATGAAAAATCAGTAATCAGAATTAATGTGTAGCAGTTAAAATAGGAATGGAAAGATCCAGTTTCGTGTTAATCATAGAATTTTATTGCGTGGTTTTGATTAATCATTCTCACACATGTTAAGGATAAAAATTGAATGAAAGAATACTATGAAAGCCACTTTGAACAGCTGGAGGAAAAACTGGATATAAATCAAATAAATAAATACAGGTAGTCCTTGACTTATGACCACAATTGAACCCAAAATTTCCATTGCTAAGTGAGACATTTGTTAAGTAAATTTTGCCTCATTTTACAACTTTTCTTGCCATAGTCGTTAAGTGAATCAACATTATTAAGTTACTAACAAAGTTCCCCATGATTTGCTTGATCACAAAAGGTGATCACAACCATCATAAATATAAGCCAATTGCCAAGCACCTGAATTTTGATCACATGATCGTGGGAATGCTGGTTGTAAGGGTGAACACCAGTAATAAATCATTTTTTTTCAGTGCTGCTGTAATTTCAGACAGTCTCTAGATGAATGATAAGTAAGTTGTACCTGTAGTAGAACATTTCTTCTCTTAGCTATTTCTCTCACTCAAAGCAGGTCTGAGAACCTACCAGTATTTAATTATATTCATTCCAATTTCTTTCATCTATAATTCAGGTATCTTTAGACCTATTTCATTGCCTTCAGCTCAAGTGTGAATTAAGAATGAGTGTATACATAGCAAACAAACAACAAGGCCTGTGCAATACCATTATTATACAAATGCTTTCTGATGCATTTGTAGGAAACACTGGGAAGCAACCAGATAAGAGGAGGATTTTATGTCCTAACACACATTATCATGTCATCATTGTGTCTTGACAAGAAGTGTTGAATGAACTTTGCTAAATAGGAAAAGTCATTCAGGACCAATTTTGTAAACTTCATTCATTCATACAGGCTACAGCAGTCACGAATTAAACGGGTGGGATGCAAATATATATTTTTTTATTTCTATTTTATTTTATTGGTTTTTAAAAACAAACATAAACAAAGAAAACATAAAAACTTCAAGCTGTCTTCCATAGGTGTACATACAGCGTGCCGGTTGGTTTACAAATTGTTTTGTGCTTCCATTTCGTAGTCTTCAATTACGGTTACATTACATATAATCTCATATTGTCAATCAAAAATTAAATACCTTAGTATCATTATTAATCAATCATTTGACTATACTTTTATTCATTCATGTTTTACAAGATAACCATAATTTACTTAATTTATTTTATAACAGTTCATATTATTATCCCAAATCTATCCTAAAATCATTTTGTAGTCATAATAAGAAAAAAGTACATCTTTATATATTTATTATTTTCTAAAAATCTACATATTTCATTACTGTACTTTGTTGTCTTACCATTGATAGAAAAGATCCCAAATTTTATAAAATTGTTCATCCTCTTGTTCTCTAATTTCAAATGTCAATCTACTCATTTCAGCACATTCTAATATTTTCTTAATGATTTCCTCCTGTGATGGTATTTTCTCATTTTTCCAGTTTTTTAGCAAATACAATCCTAGCCGCTGTTAATACATTTACAATCAGGTATTTCAAGTCTTTACTATATATTTTAGGTAAAATTCCCAATAAAAATATCTCTGGTTTCAAGTCTATATGGGGATGCAAATATTTTTACTACCGGTTCTGTGGGCATAGCTAGGTGGGCGTGGCTAGGTGGGTGTGGCCATGTGACTGGGTGGGTGTGGCTTCTTTTTTTGCCTCCTGGGCAAAGGAGTAAGACAGGGAGGGGGATCCTGGCACAGCTGATAGTTGGAACAGCTGATTGTTCGGCTGAAGGGTAACAATTTTTACTATCAGTTCACCCAAACTGGGATGAACTAGTAGAATACCATGACTGCAACTACAACATTCTGGCTGGCTACAACATTCTCTGGATTCCTCTGGAATTCTTTACATTTTCAGTCCTGAAAGGCACATAGCATTAATAGGTTTGCTATTCTGTCTAAAACAATTTGTATGTTTTCCTTACACATGACCACATCACTTATTTATCCTCTTCTTCTTTATTTAGGTATTGCACTTAAATGCCTGCTGAACTTCAACAGCATGATTCTCAGCAGGTGAACAAAACATAACTTTAAAAAAAAGATAAACATCAAGTAATACCATATTGGCTTTCTACATATCACCTTAAATTATATTTGCCACCTACACATGAATTGATAAACAACTTACCGTCTTTATTCATTAACCAAGTTATACCAAATAATATCTATACTTCTCATCCAATTTTTATGAGGCCACTGCCATGTCAAGAATAAAGTATGCTACAACTTAACTTTACAAGAATCTTACTGATATTAATATTCTACCATAATATAAAGGTTCAAAAGAAAGCCTAAATGTTGCTATAGGTTCTTTTTTTTAATTAATGTGGCCCTTTCTAATGTAGTGAAATTCCGTAATTCCAACCAACACATACATGAGGCCTCAGATTATCCTCAATGTTAGTAGGTTCTCAATTAGTTTTTATCTGTAATGATAGTGTGGAAGAGTCACAACTCTATTTTTGATCCCAGAGTTTCCCTAGGACCTGCACAACTTTCATCCATCAAATATAGAAATGAGATACTATCCCATTCTGATATGGATTAATTTGTGAAGTTGATTATTCTCAATTTACTGCATGCATTCTGAGAAAGATATCATTCCACAGAAAAGAGAAAGGCACAGAAATTTAATTGGTCTGTCTTCATTTTTCTTTTTTCTTTTTGCATAAGAAACTCCATAAGGGATACCTTATTTAGAGAAAGAAAGAAAGAATAACACCAGTGATTATTTTCATGTTAAGAAGTAAAACAGAAGGCACATATTTCAGATTAACATGGCTTTTAGCTCAGAAGTGCACTCTTTGTTGTGCAGCCAAAGATGGTAGAAGCATTGTATAAACACTTTTATATCAAAGGAATCATGCTGTATGATATGGCTAGGAATAACAAAAGGTATAACTAGAAAGCTGATAATAAATGGGTGTCTGAAATTCATTTAAAAAAAAAAAAGAAAGTCTAGACTTCAAAACTATGTGTGCACTGAAGCAGGTTATTAAAGGCCATAGAGCTTCAAACAGAATGAATGTTGGCAGTTGTCTCCAAAACTTTCTAAAAATACTATCCTCCACGTTCTTAAGAGCAGGAAGAGCTTTGCATCTGCTGAAGAAATATAACTGCGTGTAACACTCAACACACTTTAGTTTTGTTTAATTCAAAACTAAACTTAGCTAACAAAAAAGGAATTTAATGGAGT